CAGGAACCCCCCAAAAGCTAAACTTTTAAGTAAAATGGGTTTTACTCATTTAAAGGACCAAACTTTTCTTAAGATTAAGCATCTTAGATAAAAATATTTCTACCTACTTAAAGATAAAACACAGTATAACAATAAAAAAGCTAATATTGATTAAATTTACTGATATACTACATGTTTTACATATACTTAATGTTTAGTCTTCACCAAAACCCTAAGGCAAGTACTATTAATGACCCCATTTTAAAAGCATGTAATGGAAAACAGAGACGTTAATTTATTTGCCCACAATGTATTAAATGATGGCATCATGATTCAAATGCAGCAGTCTACTCTATTTTGATACACTTATTCATTCATTCAAGCACTTATTCTCAATTTTTAAAAATGTGTCAAGCAACTTAATAAAGACCTTACCAAACAAGACATATGGATGGCAAATAAGCATAGAAAAGATGCCTCATGTCATTCGTGAGCAGGGAAATGCAAATTAAAACAATGAGATAACACTCACTACACACCTGAAACAATGACCAAAATCTGAAACACTGACAAGACCAAATTCAGGTAAGGATGTGGAGCAACCGATACTCCCATTCCTTGCCGTGGGAATGCAAAATGTTACAGTGCGTTTTCTTATAGAACTAAATATACTCTTATAATACAATTCAACATTCGTACTACTTGGTGTTTACCCAAAGGAGCTGCAAATTGTATGTTCACACAAAAACCTTCATATGTTTACATGATGTTTAAACAGATGTTTATAGCAGCTTTATCATAATTTCCAAAACTTGGAAGCAACTAAGATGTCCTACACAGTAGGTGAATGGATAAATAAACTGCGATATACCCAGACAGTGGAATATTATTTAGCTCTTAAAAGAAATGAGCTATCAAGCCATGAAAAGTCATGGAGGAATCTTAAATGCATATTGCTAAGTGAATGAAAGCAACCTAAGGAGGCTATATACTCTAATTCCAACTATAAGACATTCTGGAAAATCAAAACTATGGAAACTCTAAAAAAATCAGTGGTTGCCAGGGGCTGGTAGGGATGGGAGGGTGAAAGGATGAACCAGCAGAGCCCAGAGGATTTTTAGGGCAGTGAAAATACTATGTACGATATCATAATGGATATGTCATTATTCATGTGTCCAAGCCTTCATATTATACAACATTAAGAATGAACACTAGCCCTGGTTGGTGTGGCTCAGTGGATTGAGTGCTGGCCTGCAAACCAAAGGGTCACCAGTTAAGACAGTCAGGGCACGTGTGTGGATTGTGAGCCAGGTCCCTGGTAGGAGGTACATAAGAGACAACCACACATTGATGTTTCTCTCCCTCTCTCCCTCCCTTCCCTTCTGTCTAAAAATAAATAAATAAAGTCTTTATTTAAAAAAAAGAAAAGAATGAATCCTAACCCTGGCCAGGTGACTCAGTTGGTTGAAACATTGTCCTAATACACTAAGGTTATAGGTTCAATCCCTAGTCAGAGCACATACAAAAATCAACCAACGAATACATGTAGTAAGTGGGGTAACAACTCAATGTTCCTTTCTCCCTTCCTCTGTCTCTCACTCCAGTCAATAAATAAAAATAATAATTAAGAGGAATGAACTCTATGGCACACTACAGATTGAGAGTGATTATGATGTGTCAATGTAGGTTCATCCTTGGTAAAACGTGTACCAATGTGGTAAGTGATATTAATAATGGAAGAGGTTATCCATGTTTGGGGGCAAGGAATATGAGAAATTTCTGTAGCTTTCTCTCAGTTTTACTGTAAACCAAATACTAAAAATATTAATAAAAAATATTTTTACCTTAAAAAATCAGCTTTCAAGTTTTATCAAAATACAAATTCCAGTATCCTGGTTTTTTTTTAAAGAAAAAGAAAAGAAACTAAGGAAAGATCCCCATGTCAGCGGTAATGTGAACTGGCCTTCAGCCAGCATTTCCAGACTCAGTTATGCTGTGTCATGTCTTGACATCATGAAAAGATCAACCTGTCAACTTGTCAGGCACTCTACATAAGGTATATCAGTCTTATAACAATGAGTCTGTGCTCATCTCTGAGATTTTCTTTATTTTGCTGGAATTTAAGTTCCTAAGTCAAAATAGTGACATTGATAATGTTTTCGATACACAGCCTTCAGTTGTTTAACAGATGTACCTATTAACAGACATTAAAAAATTTTACTGACTACCTAGTGCATACAATACACTGTGTTGAAAATGACAATAGGGCACTGAACAAGGTAACTTTATTCATGAAGCTCACCTCAATCAGAAATTGGAAAACATAGAAGAAAACAAATAAGATAATTAGACTGTATAAATTCTAAAGGAAATAAACAAGGGGGTGTGACAGAGTAACTGGGAATGGTCCTTCCATGACGGTGTTTTGCAGTTTTGTTCTCAGTTTGTTCCCAAAGATAAGATGGTATTTAGATCTTTATAAGATAAGATTTGATCAGGCTGGGGACCAGAGGATCAAGGAGTAGAGGAAAGACACACCACTCCTAGTGAAGATGATCAGAAATGTGGCAAGGAGAAGCCCTAGTTTCACCAATGTGGAAACTGGCTTAGAAAAATTTAGTGATTTGACCAAGGCCTCAAGCTGGGACTGAAAGAATAGCTATGATTTCAGAAGACAGGCTACCTTGGGGTGAAGGAAAGAAGTCAGTCCAGCAAGAAAATAAAGCTGAACTCAGAAGAGGTGTCCTGATTATGGGACTACCACCCTGCAAACAATGGTATAACTATCTGTATGGGTGAATGGTAAGCATAATCAGACTGTGATATGCTAGAGAAAATTAACTCTTGTAGAAAAGGTTCGGTTTGGTTGTTTGGTGTTTGCACGGTGGGGAACTAGAGTAGGGAAACTCATTAAGAGACCACCACAATCCATTTGGTGAAAATTTTAAAAATTGACCCTAGGAGGTAATAACGAGAAAGAAGAGAGACAGTGTAAAAGCAACTTGGGATACGTTTGACTACAGGTGTAGCAATGGTACCAGAAATATACCTGCAGAACACAATATAACTCCAATCCTACAATACTGAATAAACATTGCATGTTTTCACAAATGAGGAGGAATTTTTCAACAAGCCCCCATAAGCCAGTGTTCTTTGTACTGAATACTACCATGCCTAAGAAAATATTACCTGTGTTTGATGAATATCGTTTCATAGTATCATTTTAAAGTCAACAGATAAGTGTCTGTACATATTATTTCATTTAGCATTACCATTCCCACCGCATTATTCTATTAAAACATAACGTAACCCACATTATTCTATTCAAATGGTACACAATTTCCAAAAGGAAACCATGAGGTTTTCTTGTTTTAAGTCCAGGTCCTGTATAGGCCTCAACAAATGAGAATTTGAAAATTTAAAACAAACAAAAGGACTTATACCAGGTTTAGTATGTTGAGTAGTCCCACTGCTATTTTTAGAATGAACAACACTTCTCAACTTTTTCTATATGATACTAACAAGGCCAAGGATCATATCCTTTCTAAAAACAAGACCTGTACAACAGACAGCTAGACTCTCTTACAATGGCTTATCAACAAGTGTTTTGACTTACAGATTTTACTTATATGTTTATTTTGCACATATCTTTATGTACATGTACTTAAAATATACTATTTGTATTTATTGTTCTTAAGTATTTGCTTTCATTCCATTCACTGATATTTTTACATATGGCAGTACTACATGGTACTAGCAGCCTTTAAAAATATGCCTTAGATTTTTACCAGTATTTCATATTCACTGGAAAATTTGGGGTTCAGAACTACCTTATCAAATATGTAAGTAAAATATGTTCCCCTCTGTACTATGGTGAAATTGGAGCTCTGAAAGGTTAGGTAACTTGACTAGTTCAAGATCACACAGTAATTAGCAAGGACAGGGTCCTGACCCGGTCTTCAGACTTTGTTCATGCTCTTCTCCCCGCAGGACACTACCAATTTAATACATGAATATTCATGTGTCTCTCTTCAACAAACCTGGACTGTAACTAAAGGCCACACCAGTGCGGCTATGCCAAAATCCCGAGTGCCGAAATGCAGCCGGAACACTAGCACTTTTCAGTAAACATAAACACGAGCGCACGTTTCAGTCAGGACCCCATCCAATTCTGGGTTTGCTCCACTGCACAAAACTTATTAAAATACACTACAGTCTTAAAGTATAGCCCTTAACGACACTGTCTTTTTCAGTGGTAGTTCAATGAATTCAAAGGTGACTCATACAGTTAACTTGAGGTTTTCTAAATTAATAACTTAGGATGCCAAATGAAAATAATGAATTATATAGACCTCTACCCATCATCACCCCCAAAGCTGCTTAAGTGTCAAAGCGAGATAGTTAAACACGAGGACGGATGTGGGGCTGGAGCGAGTATTCCTCCTCCCAGTGACTGCCACCATCCTCAGGCAACCCACTCCTCAAAGCCCTGAGGGTCTATTTCGACCCCAATCCCGCCGTGACCAGAGTGACTACCCGCCCCGAAGCCCCCGGCCACCCGGCGACCCAACGTAGGAGCCCTGCCGGGAGCTGCGACAGCGGTAACTCGCTAGGCTAAGGCCGACCCCTTCCCAAGGCGTCCCCACCTGTCCGGCAGCCCGCACACCTGGGAGCCCCTGCCCCGGCAGAATACGCGTGGCAGAAACCGATCCCTAAACCGCAGGTCCTCGGGGCAGCCTGGCGACCTCGGGCAAGCCCGCTTCCGCTTCCACACCACACGGCCGCGACGGACCGGGCCCCCGCCCCCGCAGGAGCCCCCAGTCCCGCTGGGCCCAGGATCGCCGGCGACGGGAGGAGGAGCCGGCGCAGCGAAACTGGGGGAGGAGGAAGAGCAGCAGGCGCGCCCGCCCGCCCGGGGAAGAGGAGGAGCGCGTCCTGACCCGCCGAGGGCTGGCAAAGAGGAAAGGGGAGAGAGGGTCCGCAGCCGCCAGCAGGGGCTCCGCAGAGGAGCGAGCATCTACCTGCGAGCAGAAGTACGAGCCCTGGATGCCGAGCTTGATGCAGGTGGGACACTGGAGCTTGGCCTCGCTGATGCAGCCGTCCGTCTCGCACACCCGTGTCTCCACGGCCGCCATGCTGCCTGGCTGCTGGAAGAGCGCCTCACCGGGGAAAAGGAGGAGGAGGGAGGGAGGAAGGAACGGCTGGGCGGAGGGAGGGCCGGGGAGGAGAAAGAGGCCGAGCCAGAGGCGGAGCTGGACCCGCCGGGCCTGGGGACGGAAGGAAGACCTGAGCCGGGTCGGCCCGGACGACGCTACGCGCCCCACCCCTTCCCCGCGCGCGCAGCTGGCGTCCGGCCCACCTCCTTCGCTCCGCCCCCTCGGCCTCAGGCCTAGCACGTGGAGACGCCGGAGATCTTGGCTGAAACCTCCCTCGGCCATCGGGCCGCCTCGCTGTCAGCCCTCTGGGAGCGCGTCCTCCTAGCGCCTTCCAGTGGAGGCCAGGTGAGGCCCGCGAGGATAGGCCCACGTGCCTCGCGCTCTCTACTTGGCCAGACACACTCCCAGTCGCCCCTCACTGACTGAGTCCCGAGTTCCTGAATGTCCCCCAAGCTCCCAGGCAGTTGCAAAGAGCGCTCCACTCCTATGCGTTAGCCTATCCGGCAACTCCTTAGAAAAGGAAAATAATGCCCTTTCTTAAAGTTGTATTTCTCACTGACTTCTCTGAGGCCGAAGGACAGCCGCTCATTCACAAAAAAAAAAAAAAAAAAATTGAGCCAGACAGCTGTCTGTGAGGAGGTGGGCTGGGATTTGCATACGCCCTCTTTCGCGCCGGATATTTTTTCCACACCAACCCACTCCATTCACAATCTACAATGCTAGTACTAGTAAGATGGTAGCTACTAAATATTAAGTGCAAAGTTTAGTAATATTCTATATATAATATTTTTGTTTTATCCCGGGTAACTTAAGACGTAAATAGGGGAGAATTGTATTAATCATGAAATAGAGTTGCAAGGAACGTTAGAGGTCATCTGATGCAAATCTGTTGCCTAAATCCTTTCAGCTATATCCCAGATCTGCCATTTACTACTAATTTGTGCTTGAATACCTCCTGTTACTAGGGAAGAGAGAGGAACTAAAGTTTATGGTCAAGTAAGTACTGTGAACTTTGTGTTATCTAACCCATTTTTCAAAAATTCATATTAACAGCTCATTACTTTAAATAACTTTTGCAATGTAAGCAATACAAATAATGTAATAAAATTTTAAATGTTATACACATAAGCAAAAAGACATCAACCACCAAATATATGTATATATGTAATTTACATGTGAGCATATGCACACAAAATATTTTTAACAAGAACAGGAAAACGTGCCATGCAGAGTATTTAGTAAACTACTTTCTTCAGTTATTGTGAACTTCTTTTCTTGTCATTAAATATATTTTCACCACATGAATTTGCTGTGTGCGTAACGTTCTATTACAATAATAATTTACTGAACCAAACTCACTATAGACATTTAGGTTATTTTTAATTGGTATATATTACAAAGAAAACTTCAGTGAATACCCTTTTAGCTAGAACTTTGTGTACATCCTTATTTATGTATTTACTTATTTACTTTAAAACCAGAATATTTATTGCATGATTAACCATTGAAATCCTTAAGATGAACTGGATGCTGCAACAGCTGCCCTCTTGGGTTTAGGTACTGGTCCTTCACAGAATTCATGCCTGAATCCACAGTAGACAACTTTTAGGTGCCTCATGAGACCAGTCCCAGCGATGTTTTGGTGTTGTTTTGTCGTTTAGCCTTGGCACTCCCCCAGTTACACTTCCAATTGCACTTGGCCAGGTAGCCATACTTCCTGCAGGTGGACTTCTGAAGGTGGTAGGCCCTGGAGCCACAGCGTAGCTCGGTGTCCAGCTCAGCACATACATCATGTTGCAGCACTTGCCAAAAGATGTTCCATTGTCATCTGGCTTCTGTGGCCAAGACCAAAGAGAGCTGCATACATCCTTATTTACTTAGGATATATTCTTGAGGGTGGCATTGATGCATCAAAGGGCTGTCACTGTTTATTGTTTTTTATACAGGTTGTCAAAATTTTCTTCAGAAAGTGTGTACATAGTTATACTCTGGTCAGAACTGCACTAGAGATCTTATTTCCTGAGACTACTAGTGCCAGTTACTATTTATTTTTAATGCTTGTAATTCTGATTAATGAAAATGGTGTTTTGGTTTTTTATTAAATTATAGCAAGATGACATTTTTCTCATTAGCATTTGTATTTTTTTAAATCCTTACCTGAGGACATTTTTTTCACTGCTCTTAGAGAGAAAGGGAGAGAGAGAAGCCTCCCATACACACCTGCCCAAGGGATCTAACTGCAACCTAGGTATGTGCCTTGACTGGGAATTGAACTCACAACCATTTGGTTATGTGGCAGTGATCCAACCAACTGAGCCACACTGGCCAATGCTATATTTCTTCTTTTATGTGTTTGCTTTTATTTGTTAATATTTCTTTTTTTGTAGAAAAATACTAAAAAGTAACCCAAGACAAATTGACCACAGTTCCATCAGTGTTTCATTCACCCTTGGTATCTTTAGTTCTGCACCACAGACATATTCAATGTTTATATTTTTGCAGTTATTGATCAAAATTTTTATTGTATATATCCACATAACATTATACCATGGATTATTCTTAGATTTAGAAGTAATAAATCCTATTCCTTTTCTATACAGTAGCTCTTTATGTATTTGAGATTAACTATCGTACCTTATGGTGTGTCAGTTCTTACAACATCCATTTGTATTATATAGCATGTTTTATGATTCTTTAAAATTTTTATTGACTTTTAGAGAGGAAATAAAAACATCGATGTGAGAAAGAAATATTGATTGCCTCTTATGTGCACCCCAACTAAAGACCAACCCGACAATCTGGGTATGTGCCCTGACAGGGAATCAAAAACGCGACCTTTTGTTGTACTGGATGACATTCCAATCAACTGAGCCACACTGGCCAGGGCTATATAGCACGTTTAGATCCCTTGCAATCCATGTCCACTTACTCTGAAGGAATTACAGTTTGTTGACTCCTGATGGGTTGTGTCAGTATTGTGCTAATAAAATAGAGGAATAAGAATTTCTGAAAACTCTGGTCCAAAAGACCATAAGGGTTCTTCTTGGGTACAAGGAGACTGGAGATGGTCCTGCCCCTACTGGCAATCTGCCTCTCTGGGCTGCACTTCCTCACATCTTTAGGGAAGTGGTGTTCTGGGGCAGTTAAGAACACAGATATTGCATGATAATAGGCAAACCTCTCTGCTTTCAACCCTGCTCACTTAGTCACGTTTCCATGAGCAAATTGTTTAACCTCATTTTCCATATCTGAAAAATACAGATTAGAGTACCTACCTCATAGAGTTTTCTTGTACTTAAGTTGGATAGGATTTGTGTAGTGCTTAAGAGCCCAGTAAGAGATATTAGTAGTTAGCCTGGCCATCAGCTCCTCCTTCCTTGGCCCTCTTCACTCCCACATGACAAACTAATGAGTAAGATAAACTTCCTAAGACCACCTTTTTGGCTGTTAGGATAATCACCCAGATCTTTTTTGTTTAGGCATAAAAAGTGGCAAAACATAAGGGATTTTTATAAGTTATATAATAGTTCCTGTTGTATTCTCCTGAGACTTTAAGTCAAAGTCCCCATTGGACATCTAGTCACTATTTTCATTCCTGTGGGCAAAGTTCAGCCAACCCACTTCCAGGAGGAAGAATGGACCTCAATGTCTCAGATGAGAATTTGGAATGTCTAAAGAGTCCTTTGACCTGAAGGCACTTGTTTCCCTGGAATTTTTACATAGGGAAAAGCACTTTGGAGACAGTGTGTGAGCACATACCCAAAGCTATCTATCCAACTACCTCCTATACTGCTAGTGCCCATTGACTAGTTCAAATTCAACATGACCAAAAAGAAACAATTATCTTGTATTCACTCACTTTTGCCACCCTCTTTAAATCTGCTCTTTCTCCTGAATTTCCTATCTTTCTTAGTGATACCTTCTCTCTACTCTTGTTTCCCTAGTTCAGAATTAGGCTCCTACCTCTTCCTTATTGACACCCCGCAAACTAATCAGTCCTATAGATCTGATCTTCTAATATTTTTATGTGTTCTCTCTTTTCATATGGCTGCAACTTTAGGCCATTTTAAGCCTTGCTTGGACTATTACTGTAAGCCACTTAACTGCTTCTAATCCATTGAATCTACCCTGACATCAAGCTGATTTTCTAAGAGACAAATCTGATCATGCCTTTCCCTGCTTAAAACCCTTCACTAATACGGGGCCTGCAGAGATGGAGCCAGGAACAAAGAGGTGGCCAGAGCCTAAGCAATTGGAAACAAGTAAACAATCAGGCTTAAGTTATGAGTCAGGGTTAAGAGCATCTGTGAGACTATACAGCTGAAACTAAAGAAAAAGTTAAAAAGATCATAGGCATGGTACATAAAAGGGAAAGGAGCAAATAAGTACCTATATTAAGGATAATGAAAACCAAGTTTTTCACTTTGTGAGAAGGAAGTTACAAGTATGGAAAGGATGAAGGCTGGAATTAATTATGTAGAATTGTATTGGAATTTGAAGTATTGGTGTGAACTCAAGGTTTAGATAAATAGGTAATATAGATGTGTGTGTGTGTGTGTGTGTGTGTGTAAAGCTCTGACTACTAAGAGGGCCTAATGGCAGTGAGCACACCTAATCTCCAGATCTTGGTTTCTAAATACCATTCTCCACTAAAAGGAATCAGAGCTCTTTGGAGGATTGGCTCACTTCACTGCCAGAAAAAGAAAAGTGCAAGATACATCTGGAGAATTTCACTGTACCAGAGTGTAAGGTACAGCTCAAAAATGATGGAGACCATAGAAAGGACACAGAATGAGAGTTGCAAGATGGTGGCAGAGTAGGAGAATATTTCACGAAACTCTTCCCAGAGCCAAACTTGAAATAATATGTCCCCTAGAGCAAGGGACATAAAGGAAAGAATAAACAAATGGGATCTCATCAAAATAAAAAGCTTCTGCATGGCTAAAGAAAACAGTACTAAAATAAAAAGAGAACCAACTATATGGGAAACCATATTTGCCAATGATACCTCAGACAAGGGTTTAATCTCCAAAATATATAAAGAACTCACATGACTTCACTTCAGGAAGACAAAAAATCCAATTAAAAAATGGGCAAAGGACTTGAACAGACACTTCTCCAAGGACATACAAAGAATCCAGAGACATATGAAAAGATGCTCAGTATCGCTAATCATCAGAGAGA